CAGGATTACATGTCAACACACATAAGCTCTGGGAGATCTACAGGATTCACACCTTGACAGAACCAGCATTTCCATCCCATCAACCACAAGACCCGTTGGAATGACAGCCCCTGCCTGGCATTATCTGAGATTTTAAAACATATTACTGCACAGCCCACTTATGGGACCATCTATTCCACTCATTCTCAGCTCAGCCCTTTTTAGAAAGTAAAATAGTTCAATGAACATGGGAGTTAACTTGGTTTCTGGTATAACTAGGTACTCCCTAGTCCTGGGACTTTAAAGAAGGCACTCTGATCTATGGAATTAGACTAGATCATATGTCACAGGTGGGCTTTATCATGGCTTCCTCGGACACAGGTTCTGTCTACATATAGGGCATGCTGAATCAAGGGTGGAGAAAGGTTAACCTAAGGGAAAGCTCAGACTTCTCACAGCAAACAGGTCATGTGCTTCCTGAAGGAGAGAGGGAGGGAAGTGGCCCCAGCCACAGAGGTGGGTGCTGTCAGGATGTGCCAGAACATCATGTGACAGATGTTGGTCTGTGAACTACAGGGTGAAGCCCTGCGTTTGCCCCTCTCTGAGTCCAAGGGATGCGTTTGCAATACAAACACTTCAGGATGTTGACTCCACAGACACATTTTCAGACTCAGGAGGGATTTTTCTCTTACCTCTCTGTGAGAGAAGCTTTCGTTGCCTCCCACAAGGCTGCTGTATCTTGACACTGCTGAATCACCATTTTCTCTTTGCCATCTTTGAATTCTGGGAGAGAATCAGCCATTTTTTGTATGCGCATCTTCTCCTCTTCAAATCCATCTAGGTCCTTATCCAGCCTGAGTAATGACTTTTTCCTTGAGTGTGGAATTTAAAAAATGTATTAGCCAGTTGTTAATGAAGTTGATTCAACAAAAAACATGGGAAATGTCAGGAATGCGCTTTCATTGTCCTCTTGAGATTAATGGCAAAATTAAATATTTCTACTACAAAGGAATTCCTGAATAATAAGTACAGGAATTTATTCCTGCATTACAGAGATCAGAGGGCTCCTTGCATTACCAGAATACTATCTGGCATTTTAATTAAATATAATAAGTATACAAAGCCATAAGCAATAGCATTTTCCCCTTGGATGAATATATGTATGTATGGACATATGAGAGAAAACAGAGAGAATGTATGCAGAATACATAACATGAATAGATAGGTGGTTGAACAAAGCCAGGCCTCTAAGGAAGGGTGGAGGAACCAAGGAGGAAGGAAACAATGGGACATTATGCATGTCACGTACAAAAAGCTCTCCCAATTCTAAAAGGAGCTACTGAACTAAGGGTTTATCCTGAAATCCAGCCCTGGAGAAAGAATGCCATTGCATAAGTGTAAACTGCAACTGCCCAGGTTCTACCTCCTCACTTCCAGTTCGTCCTGGAATCCGCTTCTCACCCACTGGCTTGCACTCCTTACTCATTCACCCAAACTGAGATTCCTAGCACCCTCACACTGGGAAATGCCAGCTCCATCTAGGTCTTCATCCTCCTCCACTGGCCAGGAGCATCTCACACAGATGGTCACTTCCTCCGGGGTAAGGCTCCCAAGCCACTCTTGATCTCCTTACATCCCCCATCTTCAGCTGGTGCTTCCTTATTACACTGATCTCTTAACACAGAGCACCCTTGAAGGCACAGTTTGGACCTCTTCTCACATCATCTAAACTCAGTTCTCTGGCACGTGTCAGTCAACCTCATGACTAGAAACAGCAATCAAATGTGCATCTCCAGCTCAGACCTCTCTCCTGACTTCATTCATCTTTAGGCCATGTTGAGATGGCTACATCAAACCTAGCATTTCTCAAAGGAGCACAGCCCATCTGTCATAGCTAGAAAAGGTCAGCCGTTCTCATGTATTAATGGTATCTCCATTCTTCTAGCTTCTCAGGTCAAACACTAAAAACTACACAGTACCTAAACATTTTCTACCTCACCACCGGTCCATGACACCATCATCCCTCCCTCCCTGGGACAGCATCTCCTAGGCTCCCTTAGTCCATTTTTGGTATATCAGCTATAGAGAGCCAGTTATGTTTTAAACCACATCATTTCCTACTGCTTAGAACCCTGGAATGACATCCAGGTCACTCACAGAGAAAGCCCAAGTGGCAACATAGCCCCATATGAGTTCTCCCCATCCCACCCTTAACATCTCATTTCCATTTCCCTCCCCACAGTACTGTATTTCCCACCTCCTTGCCTCTCCACACTCATACCTGGCTGTCTACTATGGATCCCTCAGCCTGACAGGCTCTTCCTCCATGTGGTCACCAGGCTTGTTCTTGAATTTTATGTGATACACATTCTGTTCACAGTGATACTTCCCATGGCCACCCACCTTGCCATCGCAACCACTGACTCCTTCCCTACTCAGCTTTGTCTCCTCAGGTTTGGTCATCTCCAGTCCCACTACATATCTTACCCCTCCTAGACACTAATGAGCTCTAGAAGAGTCGAGAACTTTCGGCCTCTTTTGTTAAGTGCCGTATTCCCAATACCCTAAACTTCTGGCATGGAATATCTATTTGCTCTATTCACAGTTACATGAATATGTAACTGTCATTTATAAATGTATGGCTGTTAATTCATATATTAGCATCCATTGCTTATGGTGAACACACAATTAAAATTTATTGAAGTAATAACTACACAAACGATTAGTTCAATACCTCATGACACACTGGGGCGCTCGATGGATGAAAGTCTCGTTGGGCCTGAGGGGGAATTTTGGAGGGAAGGGCATAGTTAACTAAGAGACGTGGGTGAGCTAAAAACTCCTAAGAGACCACCAACTCAAGTCGGAGAAGCTAAAGTGACAGGGAGTGAGAAATGTTTGGGATATTTATTAAGAAGAAGAAGAAGATTCCACAAGAGTAACTCCTGCTAAGGCCTCAGTGTTCACGATCAATCTGGCGGCCATATTCTGAGTGCTGAAATTAAAACGGCTTGTATACTGCCAACCTCATTCATTTCCCACAATGCCTCTTTGAATTCAGCACCACTCTAATCCTGCTGGGAGGGGAGGAGAGCACCAGAGAACTAAGGAAGTACAGGGACACGTGATGGCAGGTGGCCTTCGACCATAATTCCTTTTATTTTGCCATGGCCGACCCTGTCAACTGGAAAGGGGCAAGAATTACTTCACACCTGTGTGGGGTGATCTAGATTTGAGTAGCTGAGGTGTGACGGACGACCCACACTAACTGTGGGCAGCATCATGCCATGGGCTGGGGTTCCAGTAGAGAATCAAAAGAAGACCTGAACACTAACATCTGTGGCTCTCTGCTTCCTGATGATGGTCGGCAGCTGCCTTGAGCAGCCGAGGCCAGGATTTCCCGCCATGACCTACTTAACTCCCAAACTGGGAGGCAGTAATGCTTCCTCTGGGGGGGCCCCCTTTGTCCGTATTTTATCACAAGCACAGGGAGACGTAACTGAGAGGAGCGACTGAGACATGCATGAACTACGTCGGTGGGACCTGCTAGGTTTTCACCCTGAAGGGAAGGCCACACTGCACACGAGAGAAGAATGAAGGACCAAGAAAGTAACTTATGTCCTTCACCCGGATCTCACTCCACTTCTCCCACGTCCAGGAAAAGAAATGCAGAAGGGGTTTTAAAAAAAAAAAAAATGAACATTTTGAAGAGGAACCTTATCAATAAAAAGTAAGTTTTCCTGAAAACTCGGCTGAACAGAATGCAGAACACCAAATAGTCAGAGATAGAAAGATCCAGAAGTATTTGTAAACACAGCAAGTGTCACTGTGGATGACGCCATCCTTACCGATGTTTCACGGCCGGAGCGGTGGGATCCTTCAGACCGATTTTACCGATCTGATTCTGGATGTCTTGAATGTTTTTAAAGAGCTCATGATTTTTGGAACTACAAGCCTCCAGTAACGTCTTGTCCTCCGTAAGTCCTTCCTGTTCACTCTGGCCACGCGAGTCTGAGAACCTCACTGGCACAGCACCAAGAAGTTTCTCACAGGTGGTGTGCTCCCCTCCCTCGGCATCTTTGACGTCTATGCCAAGCATCCTCAAGCGTTCATCCAAAGGCCCAGCCTTCTCATTCATCAGGAGAATGTCTTCCTCAACAGTTCTCCCTGCCGGAGCATCCTCTAGTGCACTGGAGGCACGAGGGTCTGCAGGAGGCTGGGCAGAGAGCTTAGCTGCTCTCAGAGAAGCCAAAAAACCTTCCAGAGCCTCCAGGGCATCTTCTCTCATCTCTGCCTTCCGGTTCATGGC